GGTTCTGCAGCACCTGACAGTTGGACTGATGCGACTCAGGAAATTTAATTCACAAAACAGGATTTATTAGGTTCTTACCGGGCTGTAACGTTTTATCTCTGAATGCTTTCCTTCCCCACACACCGCTTGCTACAGAAAAGAACCCCGAGCGGCTCAGCCAGCCTTAAAACGCAGGGAAGCAGCCACGCGGGAGGACGCGAGAGCCAAGAGCGGCGCGGGAGAGCAGAACCTGGAAGATGTCCACCCCTGGGTCAGGGAGTTCAAGAGAATTAAGGCAGCGAGCGGCAGCTGGGAAGAGGAATGAAGCCAAGCAAGGTTCGATGTTACCTGCAGAGCAGCTTCTGAGTAACTTCTGTCCCACACGTGTCAGCACAACCCGGAGGGACCTGCCCCATCTCAGGAACCGCAGGAGCGGATCCCGCCTGGAACGCCGCCTCTCCTGCCCTGCCAAGCTGTACCGACAGCTGGAGCACACCGGGAGAGTACCAACTCCCCATCTTGTCAGGCAGAAGAGCGACCGGGTGGACCGCACCACCTTGGAGTTCAGACCTAACTGAGCAGAATTACCCTTTTATAAAAAAAAGGATAAAATTATGGATTGCTTCTAATTAGAGACAGATTTTAGAGGCAACAACTATGCTGCGTCCCTCCGCTACTTCTTCTAGCAATAGGTTACAACTTTTACAGGGACAACTGGTCTGGAAAAACCATCTGGGTGAAGTGTTAAGCAGCCGCCTCACCAGTTTACAACTGGAATTGCGAAACGGGTATTTGTTAAAAGATTTTAAGATCTAATTTTCATTTCACAAAGTCAGTCAAGAGAAATCAAGCGACTAATGTCACCAGTGGATAGCCAAGAACAAAATCCAAGTGATTTTGCTGTTGTTTAGTTCTCCCTCTCCCCATCCAAAGCTACCAAGTCACCATCGCGTTTGCCCACTCACGCACAGATGCACAAACACCCTAAGTCTTGAGCTGATTTCTCTTTACTTCACAGTCTTGGCAAAACAAATCTGCATTCAAAAGTCATTTCACATTAATATATTAATCAAACATTTTCAAAATAAATATTTTTTTTAAAATAACCATTTCTTTACATCACTGCAGTAGCAATTCTAGAAAAGTCAGTGCACAGACAGTAGCAATTTGATTAATCAGCTAGACTCAAACGAAAAGAAAACAGGAGGTGGACCTTTTTTCTCTCCAAGCAGGCTGCATGCAGCAAGTCTCAGCAGTTTCCTAGCACACGATCTTTCTTCACGCTTGCTGGGAAGGATTTTGTCTCTCACCGACACCGACTGAAGTCAGTGAATGATTTGTGCAAAGCTTTGTACAACGCAGAGTTTTACAGCCGGGTTACCGATGGGTCCTGCAGAGGTTCTGCACGCTGGAGTCGTTGCTAATGAGATCAATGAATCGATGCTACGGAAGGAAAACGCTTGAACCCTCGGTCCAAGGAGCCCACGTTCAAGTTACCGGGAAGTGAATTCACAGCTGATCCAGGAACACTGACAGCATTAAACAACGTTCAAATGAGCAGCTCAGTTACACCTAGCAGCTTATACCAACGCTTTGCATATTCTCTCAAGTGCTTCCAGGGCAGAAGTAAAGCAACTATTTTCTCCCCACGAGCTGTTAATTCACCAGTTAAATCACAGCAGTGAGATGCTTCACTGGCCAAGAAGTGTAACTTGTGTTACAGCAGAGAAAAAAAAAAAGTGCATGACAGAGTATAAAGAGAGAGTTCAGGACTTGGTGCTCTCAAGCCCATGTATCTAACTGGAAAAGAGAGACAACAGAAAGTTAGTGTTCCCCTCCGATCTGTAACCAGTGAGATGCTACCCATCGGCCCCGTAAAGGGCAGCGTGTTTTCTCAGGAAGGGAAGCTTGTCAGCATCGCCATGCAGCGCACAGCAGGGAAATCTGGGGGGCTACCAGGTTATTTGCTACAATTGTCAGGAATGACTTAGCTGAAAAAAACCCAAGGAAGTTTAATAGATATCTGAAAAATGTAAGAGACACCTATTGCCTTTGAGATCCCAAAGGCGCCCTTTGAAGCCCTTTCTCAGTAGCAGAGGGAAATGCCAGATGGGATACTCTGGATTTGGAGGAATACCCAGAGACACCCCTGTGCCCAGAGATGCTCTTGGCTGCACACTAAGGAAAATTCAAGACCCTCCCAAGAGCCTTGCATCCATGTTATGAGCATGTTAATTGTCAGTACGGAGCAGTTCCTTCCTCTAAAGAGGTATAACTTAAGTATCAAAAGAAAGAGATGTAAGGGAAACAATCACAGATGAAGAAGCTCCAGTCCTAGCGATGCCGCACACAGGGAGAAGAGAATGCTGCGGTAGGACAGCAAACCCGCAGAGCTCTGCGAGGTAACCCAGGCTGCTGAAACCTCTCCCCTTGCTCTGCACCTATCTACCACTAGAGTCCATGAAAGCTACGGGCCTTGGGGGAAGGCTCTACTCCTCGGTGCTATGGACCATGCCCAGGATTCTGCCAAAATGGGAAGTAAGAAAGCAGTGAGTTGTGGAGAAGTTCTCTGTTAGCTTATTGGTTTTTCTTGTCCTCTGGTGGGAAGTATGGAGGAGGGGGGGGCTGGTCCTGAAATAAAAGACAATAAAAGAATATCAATTCATGGCTAAGGGGAGGGGGGGGGAACCAACAACACAAAAACAACAACAACAAAAAAGCAAAATCAGTTCAGACGAACTTTGCTGTGTCACTGAGACAGAGAACTGCTAACGACCCGCCTGGGCTCAGACTGCAACACCAGCACGACGCAGGAACTCACCGTGGGCATATAGACGTTGTGTGGGTTGACTGGGCTGTAGTAAGCGCTGGCAGCGGCTTCGGCAGCCTTCGCTTCAGCTGTCGCAGAAAGAGAAGTTACAGACGTGGTGACATGCAGAGAACTTTTACCATCAAACAAAACCTCCACGTATTCTCAGCCATCAGTTGTTACTAACAGAGCGCTATTTGACCCACGCTTGAGTTGCAAAAGAGCTACAACAAACACGACAATTGAGCATTATCTCTTCCAAGTACTAAAAATTCAGTTGACGCAGGATTGTCAAGTCAGAAGTGAAATAGTCCCAAGACTTAGTTTGGAAATGTCACCTGGGACTTGCCTGTTAGCCAACAAATAAATGCTAACAGCTGTTTTGCCTAAACACAGACAATACCCCTCAAAAAGGCAGTCAACAAACCATCCTTCTCGGGAGTGAAAACACGAGACAAAACATCAGCACAAGTTTCTAGCAGCTCAGGGGATTCATAGTTTAAAGATGGTAATTTATGAAGATAATCCAGATCCTCTATTTCTGCAGAATACAAAAATCTTGTAGAGCTATCTGGATCAGTGCCACTTTCCAAATAATAGTTCAAAGATGATGGTCGCTTATTCAGACAAAAGAGAGAAGTTAAGGATATTTGTCTGGATAAGAATTTATCTGTGAGAGATCTATGGTTGTGTCCAACCACAAAAGCTCATTTTTGGGCTTTTTTTTTTTGTTTGGTCGGTTTTTTGTGGTTTTTGTGTCATGTTCCCCCCCCTCCCCCCCGGCCCCGCAGACCTTTTAAGACCATGTTCAAAATAATTTTGATAAATCCCAAATGAGTGAAAACGAGACTGACTTTTCCCCAGCTCCGTTCCATTATCTATTCCTCTGTTCCATACAGTTTAAGCAAAAGTAACCAGATTAGAGTGAAATGGGGAAAGGGGGAGCAAATATCAGCAAAGCCACATTTTCTAACTAAAATGGACTAGAAACATATTTCACCATCAATTTCTTTTTATTCATCTAACAGAGCAAGATTACCACAATAGGAGAACCACAAACTGCATTTTTTCTGCCACAACAAGACTAAATCCAGCTGCAAAATACCCGCTAATAGTATCCACCCTGGGGAGAATCAGGCTGGCCTCCAGACTGCGATGGATACACAAGCCTGGAGAGCAGGGGAGCTCCCTAATCGCTCTCCTGAACGATTTTAACTTCTAAGTGGAGCTTCTAAGTTGACACTAAGCTCCCCAAGAGACAACAGACAAGAAACAATGTCTGTTTCATGGGTAATAAAACCGTTGTGAGCTAATTCACCTGAACGCGCCTCTTACCTGCGGGAGTGGAGGGCAGGTCCGGACCGCTGACGGGGGGTTCCATGGGCCCCGGGTACGGCGGGGGTGGAAGCTGCATGTAACCCATGTCTCCGTCCGCCACGGGGGGGCCAGGATAAAACTCTGTCAGGAAAGGAATAGCACAGCAAAAGATGTAACTCCTCTGGGTGGGTCACAGCATACAGCCAAAACAAGCCAAAGGCAAACAGAATTAAGCTCAGAAACAAAAGTTGCACAAGGCATCAGATCCAATCTAAAAGACTATGTGAAATTCGTGTTTCTTCCCCTTTTCAGCTATTTTAACTCTTGCTAACTAGAATAATCCCATCCTCAATTCCCAGACTCACCAGGAGGAGGTGGTGGGTACGGATAGGCCCCATTAGCTGCAGCTGGTGCGAAAGCATAGGATCCATTCGGCATATAGGAGTAGCCGTAAGCTCCATTGGGTATTTCACCTCTGGAGACTGGAAAAGTAAAGATAAAGTTGACCTCACCAAAACATCAAGCCTGCATCAAATGCAGGCAGAGACCTCCAACAAACTTAAAGAATCCTTATCTGAAAAACAAACAAGCTCCATCCCAATAAATCTGCTGCTCACTGGATGTGAAAAAAGTATTTTTTAAAGCAAGAAAGTTCCCGATACAGCCTGAAACTCGCCTGGATTTGAGTCCTACCCGTTGCAACCTAAAACCGCCCTTGCTGCGAGACGAAGGCAAGGCCGCCTGAAACCACAGAACTGTCTGGCGGACCCTGCCAGGCTCCCGTACCTTGCGATGCCACCTGCAGCATGCGCTGCCCGAACTCGATAGCACCCCCAGCTGAAAAGGTCATCTTGAATGTGGCGGATCCTTCCCAGCCACCTGCAGGGAGGAAAGACAGAATTCAGAAGCAAGGAGAAGATGTTTCGATGCTATTTAGCTTCCGTGCTTTATCTACAGATGCCCTGTATATAATTCTTTAAAGAGCTCATCCCAAAAATCCAAGAAAAAAAAAATGCAGATAAAGTGGCAGAATGACCCTATTATCAGAAAAATTCACACTGGGGTATTTCCAGGTCAAGAGATACCTGAAACATCAGTGAGGGAGACCTTCGACAGCTTACTGAAGTTGCGCCTGTTACCACACCAGCTGCCAACAGACCGAGCGATCAGAAGCACTGGATTTGCTCTAGGTTTGTATAAGATTAGTGCAGAAGACAGGGATTTTGTTAATCCTGTTTGCTAAAAAGCCTTTGCAACTACACCTAACTGTCAGCTATAAATTAGTTTGGGAGTCTGAGTGCCCAATGAAGCAAAGAGCTTAATGAAAAACATGGTCCACATAAATCCATTAGCGTCCATGGAAGATATTTCAAGTCAGAATAATAAAAAAACCCAAACATTAGTGACATCTCATATTACAGACTGAAAAAAGAAAACCACGCACAGCCCAGAGTCCCAACAATGCCTCAAAGCAGAAGCTGTGTCAGTGCTGAAACAGGGACGTGTAGATTAAAGAGCCTTTTGAGCTAAACCAGACTCTCATGGCTGTTAAAGCAACATCCCCGTTAAAAGAGACGGCCTCTGGGGAAAACTCACAAAGATTTAGTTAAAGCCGTTTGCCTTTCACACAGTTTAGAGTTTGTCGTTACTGCTCGAGCTTCCTCTCACGCTGGATATTCCCACTTTGCTCCCACACAGAAGCTACAACGCTGATTTCAGGATTATAGACTGAAGTCTCCTAAGCACTGCACTGTGATTTCAGTGCCACAACCAAGAGATTAAATCAGGCTGGGGATAAAAGAGTTCACTGAACTACGTGCCTTTGGTAAAAAGGGGAAGCATAAAACACTGATTAAAAAAAATTATTCCTGAAAATGTCTACCACAACCTTCTCATTGAACATAACATGAAAGCGCCCCTTGAAGATCCCCTCATTTCAGGACGGTCCATTCTCTTCCAAGTGTCATTTTTACTGCTAAAATGCACTACAGCAACAGCATGCCTTTCCTTGAATTGCACAAGAAATTGATGATGGAGAACAGCGCGCTGGAGATCTGCACCTGAAAACCCAAACTGATCCAGAAAAGAACCAGAGTCTTTGGCACAGGAGCACCTGGACGCAGAATTAACAGGTAACCCCAAGTGACCAAAGCGAAATGACATCCTCGCTCTTGCTGACTCAGCTCTGCTGTTTACTCAGTGAGATTGCTTGGCTGATGGAACTTGGTATTCTGCACAGAGGGCAGGAATGAGATCGGTTGCAGAACAGATCTGTTCATTGTAACTGTACAGGGAACAGATCGGGGGAATATTTTTAGCTCCTACTTTCAAAGAAAGAAACATATTTTAGCAGTACCACAAAAACCCATTTGGTCAGTATCCAGTTTTGGTTACACCGGATACTTACTTTGCTACGAACTGTGTAGTTGAACGAAGATACAGAACATACGTCTGTTCTATACATACCTCCAGCCTCGGCTTTCACTGTGCCCTTGATATAATTTGCTCCAAAGACAGGCTGCTTAATCTCGCAATCTTTCAACAAATAAAAGGGCATCATGAAAGACTGCATAGCATCCTTGCCCTTCGATACAAAGATAACCTGAAAAGAAAATAACGTTACAAAGGGTATTTAAAACAAACAGGAAACACAGCCCCGATTTATTATCTGAAGAGACTATTCTATGGACTGAAACTCCCTCCCATATCCGAAGCTCCTCGTCAGTTCTGCAAGCCAAAGGCCACACAGAACAGCCACAAGGGTAAACTGAAGCCTCAAGGCAATAAAGCCTTCCAGGAAGACTACCCTTGCTCAGATGATACTCCTCCCAGCTTCCAGAGAACTCGCTGCTCCACACAGCTTTGATTTAGTAGCTGTGCCTTCGCACTCAGCATTTCCAGACCATTGCTAATTTCCAATCTTGAAGATGCCTGATGGACTAAACAGCTGTCTGTACAAGAACTAATCAGATTTATTATCTTTTGACAAATAGATAGGATATGCAATGAATTCATAATGCTCCCCAGAGGGAGAGGATGAGCCATACTTCAAGGGGCAGTAGATTATCCTGACTTTCATGCATTGAGGACATTTAAATACAGAATCGCAAAGAGCACTTATCTCCTTACACAAGATAAAGCCTTTTACTACTTACTCGGTAGGGAGTCAAGAAAACGCTGCCTTTCTTGGTCCCTTTGAAGGCATCTGGCATAGGTTCGATATCACTGAAGGTAATTTCTATGTGATCATAGGTCATCAAAACGCTGCAAACAAGAGGAGAGAAGAGACGCGGTGTTACAGCTCAAGGCAGAAGTGCAATACCCATGCGAGTTTACTGACCTACCAAAACTGCCTTCAACCTCAGGCCAGTGCTCGGCAGACAAAATCAGTCTGGCTTGCATTTTTTTTTTTTTTGGTTGGCAGTAGCAACTTAAGTAGCACTGGCTGCTTGTTCTCCGCCTTGTGTTCCCTCCTCAGTGTGCGGGCACAGCCAGGGCTGTCTGCACAGCCAGGCAGTGAATCTAGTCAATTGAACTGATCGAGGTCTCAAGACACGGAGAGATAGATTTTTTTTTTTTTTTTAAGTTGTGTAGCATTTCTGCTGGATCAGTTCCCTAATTTGGTTCACCGCAAGTAACACAACAGAGGAAGGACTGCTGAAGCAGGAACTGCTCAGGCTGGCTTATGCAACACGGCTGTTGAAGGTCTAACCACAGCTTAAGCATCTCTGTCACAAAAACGTGATCAAGAGGAACTCCCCTTTCTTGCCACTAGACTTCATTAACCCGTGTTGTCTGCACCGACTCCTTAATTCTCAATTAGAAACTGACCTGATTAAAACCTGTGCGATACCCTTGCACGGATGCAGCGGGTAACTTGCATTAACATAACAGCACCCGCATTAGGGACTCTAATCCCTAAGGCTGGAGAAACCTCCACCACCTTTATCTTTGGCAGCTTACGTGTTACCATCCTCAGATTCACCCTTCTGCCAGCAAGTACCTGTCCTTCCAGCAAAAGCTCCAGAAGGGCACAGGGGCCAGCAGCTCTGCTGAAGCTCCAGCTGAACCAACCACCACAAGCAGCCTGGGCGGCCGCGTGAGAAGTAACCCCCGATCCAAGGGGGGCTGACAACTGGGAACAGTAACACGTTAAGCTGCCGCAGTTGTTTGTTTCAGTGAACACAAACTTAAGGCCCAGAGTTGATCTTACTAAATTCTTCTAAGAAGGGTCACATCCCAAATGGAAGTCAGGCGCAGAATTCCTACAGCAATGTTTAACCGGCTTCATGGAAAGAAGCCCTGAAGAATGAACTACTCCTTTGTCCCAGAAGCAGGTGACTGACACGTCAGAACCGAAGCACGCTGGCAGACACAGAGGGTGAGGACAGCCCATTGCCGTGCAGACAGAGGCAGCTCTGTGGAGGCTTTCTGTTTCCATGGTTATATCCCAGCACCTTTTTCCAACGCTGTCGCTGCTCCCCCAACGCACGGAGGGGGGGGTGTGCGCGAGGAACCCAGCAAACCGAACCTGGCAGCCGGCCTAGCGCTTCCCGAGCGGGCGGCTCCCGAGCGGGCGGCTCCCGAGCAGAGGCACACCGCAGGTGCAGCATCCCAGCTCTCCAGCAGCGCTGGGTGGCGAGAGAAGGATGAGGCTTGGGTCCAGGCCAGAGTCACCTGGCTGCGGGCTGAGCTCTGCCAGCCCTCGGGGGAGAGGCTGGGGACAGCAGTAAGAGCCAGCGGCGGGCCGGGGGGCGGGCAGGCTGCTACCTCCGTGAGGAGAGGAGAGGAGAGGAGAGGAGAGGAGAGGAGAGGAGAGGAGGAGGAGCCCAGCCACGCCAGGGTGGCGTATATAAACCCTCACCCCTCGTCCCCCAGCACCCCTCCCCACACAACCGCTCCCCCTGAGGGGGAAGGAAGGAAGGGGCGGGGGAGGACACACGCAGCCCCCCGCGACTGCGGCCGGAGGAGGGGAGAAGGGGATGGCACCTCACTTCTCGCTGTTGTTAACGATGACGCCGCCGCCCTCCGAGTGGTTCCTGTTCAGCGCCATGGCCGCCGCCGCCTCCTCCTCACAGCGCCGAGACCGCTCTACGCCTGCGCGGGAGAGGGGCTCTTGGCGTGGCGGCGGGGGCGAGGCACGAAGGGGAGGCCCCCGCGGGGGAGTGCGGGGGGGGT